TTAAAATATCCAGTTCAGTATTTATAGCAGCAGTTTCCCTGTATGAATGGCAGCCAGCTACCTCTGTAATTAACACCAACATTATTTTTAGGGATCCAAAGTTCCTCCATCAGTTGTAGAGTATGCGCACACACACACTCATCCCCCTACCCAAGCAACACAGATTCCTCATTCGTATGAAAGCAGGCTGCTCTTTCACAATGCTTTTACCAACAATTTCACGCTTTCCTTTTTTGTTTCTTTTCACTCAACTAATTACCAAGAAGGATGTCTAAACTAGTGAAATGCAGAAAACCCAAACCACATTTTATATGCTTAATTGTTCAGCATTTGAATTAATGAGACTGATGTGAATCTTGATTTGACTTAAGTAATATCAAGAAAAGAACTTCCACTGAACATCAGGCAGGGTCCATTTAGTCTGGGCTCAAGGAAACCAGAATTACCTGTGACAGAAGAATAAACAATTCCATAATAGCCAGTTTAGAAAGAAGCCTTCCTCACAGCCTCAGACAGTTATTACTTATTTTAAGAGTTTGTATCTCTTACAGAGATATATTTTAAACAATGTGGACTAATGAAAGGCACTTCAGGGGAGAGAGAGGCTCAACTTTTACTCAGTTTTAGTACACAGATAAGCTTAATCTACTTCCAAACACCACAGCTTTTCATCCTAGCCAGTAGACATGCACTTTCTCACAACTAATACTCAAAGAGATCCTTTTTAGAAGATAAAAATCACAAATATCCTTGCTGGATGGGATCCGACGTGCACCTTATCTGCAGAACAGCACAAATTCCAGTTCAGACAGGAATTACTAATTCTGTAGTGACTGACTAGCCCTTGTCTAGGTATAGGCATAATGTTTATCAACACTTGATTAAAAATTGGTGGCATCTCAAAATTGATTTTGTTCTTGGCAACATGACTTGTGTATGCTGTGATAACTGTGCCATACACACATCATTCTTCAATGGTAATTAATATCAGTGTAAAGTGAGTCATTTTATAACCATTTTACCTGGAAGTAAATGACTAAAAGAATAAGATGAGCTGTATTCATCAGGTCTACTTTTATTATCTCTTAGAAAATTATAGTGTGGATAGTATGGACAAAGAGATGTGTAAGGAAATGTCAAGTCATGATAGTTACATCTTTGGGGCACTTCCTATTTAAATATTTCAGACTTTGACCTTAATACCTTAGTTAAAATGGGTGACAGAGGTTCACATCTCTCAGTGCTGCTGGTTTCAGTGCATCTGAAAGCAGACTCAAAAGCAGTGTGATGTCTAATTTACTTGCAAAATCAAAAAAATTCCCATTTCAGGGGTTTCGTTTAAATGAAAATTCAGATTCTGGAGAAGAAAACAAAACCCACTAAAACAGGAAGGATGGTGTTGTGGTTAAGTTTCTAGTATGGGGCTCTGAAGACCTGAATTATGTTCCCTTCCTAGCCCTTCTGCAGATTGTATCACTCTCTGACTTAAGCAAATCACTGAATCTCTGTGCTTCAGTTCCCCTTCTCTATAGATGGTGTTGCTGGTTTGCTCATTTTAGGTAATGAGCACTTTCACGTAAGAGCTACCATTTACAGTATCAGCACAAGAGAGGCTCTAACTCAAAGCACTAATAATAAAATATGTGACCTTATTTACTGTTCCTACAAGGAAACAGCAATTCCCTATTAATTCCCACACTGATCATCCACTTACTATACCAAATTCTAAACAGTGCTCTATTCCACAGACACATTGGCCTGCCAGTTAATCCAGGTTCATAACAGAATCAGTGTCTGCTTCTGTTCTCAAAAATCAGGCAAAAGCTAAATGGGGAACGCCTGCTGACTGTCAAGCCTCAAGATTTTTGATTTATTTATTTGTTTCCATAGGACTGTCCCTGCAAGTGGAATGAATTCAGCAAGGTGTGGAGTGCCCCATAAGGGAATTTATACTGGGGAATACCATACGTGCTATCACAACCTCCTCCCTCTTGGTGGTTTCACTGGGTGAGGAGAGGCTTGGAGCATAAGGGAAGCTCTCCATGCATTACATTGCTGCTAGTAGCACCAAGAGTGTGGTTTCTGGAAAACAAACTAACCAACAGGCAATTGCCTCCTTTATCCCCAACAGATACAGCACTCTCCTATCTTCAGAACCATGTTTTTTCCCTTGCTGCCTTCCGGCAGACCTTTCCTGGCATCCATATTCCCAGTGTTCTCTCTCTAAACAGTTTCCCTTGAGTCTTTGCCCTCTTTCTAGCCAGTAAGCTGTGCTCCTGCTGCCCAAATGCCTAATGATTCCTCTGAATTTTCCATCATCTTCCAAGCCAATGTTTAAAAAATAAAGGTACGGACTTCTGTTTTTAACAAAAGCTGAGTTTGTTCTTTATCCTAGGCTTTGGAGATTTACTGATACAGCCCTTCAGATCAAATCATTTACATGGGAGAAGGGGGTACCGTATAATGCCTCCCAACTGTTTTCTTTCCCTCCAGACCTTGCCTTTCTTTTCCAAGACCATCAGCAGGGAAGACAGTTTGTTTCTCCACGGGAAATGGTACTTTGCAAAGATGAGAGAAAAAGGCATTTCACAGGAAGGCTTTACTTACCACACAGACTCTAAGTCTAATTCACCTTGCAATAAGCAGTAAACACTCATTAAACTGAGTGACAGAATCCCCTGAACTGGCAGCAGAGCTTTCACCTTCAGTTGTTCCTAGAGTCCCCCTTCGATGGGTGCTCTGCCCAAGAGCTCCACACCAGCTCCAGCTTTATGCTCTGCCCTCTAATGGTTAGGGTCACCTTGTGTCACCCAACCCTGAGGGCATGGAGCTCTTCCCAAGGCCCAGGCTATGGGGATTTTTAGTAGAGGGAGAGGAGGTAAGAAAGGAAAGAGAAGGATGGGAATGGGGGTTGCAAAAGTAAACATCAGTGGTAAAATTGAAGATTTCCCAAGAAAGCTCAACTTGTGGGACCCTCAAGTCTAAAACCCCAGCTCTAACTATCACAAAATCTTTACTCACTGTACAAGTCTCCTTCACATATTATGACTGACAACCACTTCTTCTGGGCAAGCCTTTTTAAGCAGCTTATGGCTAAACTGGACCACTCTCCCTGTGATTCACATAGAGCCAGTATCAAGCTCTTGCAGGCAGCAGCACTTGGCTGCTGGTGTGTGAGCTGGCAGGCTCACTGCAATGCTCTCCTCAGTGCTGGGAGCTCACCTACCCATCCAAGCCCTGCCAAGCTCTGACGTCTTGCAACTAAGTGTTATTACCATATTCCTGCTCAATGAAGAAGACTTTTTGGACAGGCTGTTTGTCAGCTGCACTGCTCAGCACACTGCTGACAGGCTGCACGTGCACCTGAAGGATCTTTCTTTCCCCTGTGAACTTACAGAATTAAAAACTATGTGAGAGTGGAACAGCTTTCCTGGCACACCTACAGCAAGCTGCAGCCAACCTCCATCTCATCTGAGAAACACTCCTACCACTGTGGTGCATTACAGCCATGCTGCTCCACTTCTTAAAGCCACAATGATGGCAGGAGCCAGCAGTAGCAGAAGGTAGCTTGGCAGGGCCCTCAGAGTCTAGGTGAGGAGTTAGAGGATCTGAGCTGCACTTTTGTCTCAGATTTACCTTCTTGTGACACAGTTAAGCACTTTATTATCTCTTTTCTTTGGAGGGGTGGCAAGGAGGAAGGAGTCTTTGTCTTGACTAAGTACAGTTTAAGCTGTTAAGGGCAAGGCCTGGTTGTACAACCTGCCTGAACAAGAACAATGCCTTATACAAAACAGACACTGAATCTCCTTGCTGCATGGAGCACACTACGCCAAAGCAAATACTGGCAAAACATTTCTCCACTATTGCAGGTTCAAATTCAAAAGCAAGTTTCAGTTCCACCATTCCCCCATGTTTTTGTTTTACACAGAAAAGCAGGTGAGCTTCCACAGCTGCTTATGCCAAACCTTGGCTTAAGCTCAGTTGCTCAGAAATTGTTTGAAAGAGGATTCTGAGTACAAAGTGAATCTCTGTGCCAGGTCTTAAAATCAATGGCAAGCTCTGTTTCTCCAAATTCATGACAACTATACTGTCACATGACAGACCATAAGCAATAGATTTTGGTAGCATCATCAGGAATTTCCAGGTTGACCTGTTGTCCACTGGCTGCACATCAATAAGGCACTGTATTGCCATCAGGTTAACTCAGTCTGTGACCACACTGGATTTTGGAAAGAATATTCAGTCTCAAAGCAGGAAATACATTCCCTCAACTTCATCCCAAAGGACAACTCCCAAGTGCTTCCCAGCTTCTGTCCCCTGCAGAATTTGACAGAAACGTTTCCTTGTCACAAGCGCTGTTGACTGCAAGGGGAAAAACATCCTTTCCCTGCTCCCAGTAAGGAAGCATTCTAGCTGCAAAACCCGCATGTCATACTGCATGCCCCTGACCACATGTGCTCTGGAAGAAGTACATAAGTGTAGTCATTGCAGATGCAAGAGTCAGTGGGATTCTTCACGGAGTTTCTGTATTTTTGCACATGCCTGAGCAGATGAATTAACTGTGCAAGGCGCTGATAGGGCCACTTGGCTTCCAAAGAGATAAGGAATAATCGGAAGAACAACTTCTTGGTGTTGTAGACAGATACTGGTTACTACTTTAGGAATCACCCACTTAAGAGAGGACATAAGACACTAGTTTGGTATTTGATGTTTCAAACCTCCCTCTGGGTGAGCAGAACAGCATCTCAAGCCTCCTGCACCAGCTTCTGACAAAGTTTATAAATACAGCTGGGGATTTGAACAGTTACTTTTAAATCTGATTACCCTGTAGAAAACCCCAGGGAAATTCTGCTTTGAGAACTCAAATCCCAGGGTAGTGTCTGCACAGTCCTCTCTGTGGAAGCACCACAGATTTCTCTGAATGCTTTTCTCACTTTAAAATTACTGTCTAAATTTACTCCCCTTCTCAGACGTTTAAGTTACATATTAGATTCTCTCACCTGTTCTGTCCATGCTGACCTTTTAGCTTTGAGGACAGCAGCTATCTTCAAGTTAACACTTCCCACGTGTTCCCACGTCCCTACTTGCTCGCTTTTCTTGCCGTTTTTTCCCCCCCAGGTTTTGAGCTAGCTGCCAAGTCAGAGCCCTGTCCATCACCTACCTCTAGGGTTCCCTCGCCTCCCTTTGGCCTCGGAGCACTCCTGCGCTTGGGCTTCCCAGGCAGCCGAGCCAGCCTGACCCTACAGCAGCTGCCTGCCGCTACCCAGGGGCGCCTTGCGCACCACAGCATTGCTGGCGCTGTCTGGGGAAAAGAAAAGAAAGCGCAACCACTGGTTTAGTCGGACAGAAGACATGGGGTGAACCGAAGACGGGGACACGCGGGGCGGGGCGGAGCCGAGCCGAGCGCAGCAACCCTACCGCCGGCGTTCCCCAGCACTAGCAGCCCTAAGCGAGCTCCTCGGGTGCCGGGAGCCGCGGGCAGGGGAGGGCTGAGCTCGGCTCGGTTCATCCGTAACTCGCTCGGAAAGTGAAAGTGAAGCTGCGGCCACGTGTTTTCGGAGAAGGCAGGGGAGGAGCCGCCGCGCAGAAAAGCGCCGCCGCGTTAAATACAAAGCGGCAGGGATGAGCGGGCCCAGAGCACTGGAGGTGCCGCCCGCCCGCCCGCGGGAGCCTCGGCTCATGCGGCGCCAGGCACGGCCCCCGCGCCGAGGATGCTCAGCCGGCCGCCGGGGCCAGGAGTAGCCGCCGGGCGAAGGTAAGGGAGGGAGAGCTCTTCCCCGCGGGGTTCTCGCGAGCCCAGCGCTCCCGCGCCGCGGTTACAGAGGGAGGACTGCGGAGGCACGGCCAGGGAGCCGTGCCGAGCCTGGTGGCTTTGGGGGGGGGGGTGGTGTCTTTTTGGGTTTTTTTGGTTCTGTTCCCCCCCCCCCCCCCTTTGGCTCAATGTCCGCGTTCAAGACGGAGCTGTCGTGCTCGGTATAAAACGGCGAGAACAACACCAAAGTGAGCACGCAGCGAGCTTTGCACGGCACCCTTCTCCAAGGACCCGCACCCTCCCCAGCAGGGCCCCACGCAGCCCCGGCCCGGAGCGAGCTGGCGGGTGGGCACCGTGCCGGGTTCTGCCCCGGAGGAGAGAAGCACCCCGGTATCGCCTAGCGGCGCTGGCTGTCAGGCTCTGAAGACTGGCGTGCCCCGAGTTTGCTCTGTGCCCTTAGGAAAGGCACTGCAAACTCCTTGGCTACGGACGGTTCCCGCTAGGGAGCCCTGCGAGTTCGAGATCGCGGGTTTTGTGGTTATTTCTCACCAGCGTGCCATGAAATTTAATTTTTGTTAACTTAAATAGTGAGTAATAATCCTGGCCCAGTAATTGGAAAAACTGACATCAGTTTCCTTCGGCTGTGTAAAGAAAGCCCAGTGCTGCTTTCAGCCTGCTAAGTTATTTGCCAGCATAAGGGTTTTACAGCCCTTTTTGCTGTTTCAGGAGGTAAGATGACCTAAATGAAACCAAACATTAAGCTGTTAAATTAGCACAGACAGGAATCCAGCTGTGTGCTTTCTCTGAAATCCTCATTAGCGTGTTACCCTGAAACGTAAGATGGCTGAGGGATTCATTTCTGAGAACACTTCAAGGTTTCTCAACAAGCTGCTGCTGCAGATCTATATCTGACTGTAGGGATAAATCCTAAAATCTATGCTTGCCAGTAAGGTCAAGGCAGTCAGCGGAGATGTATTGAACCACACTGTCAGAGGTAGACATTTCAGGCCAAACTCATTCCTGGTGCAGCACTGCTAATTCCTTTGAAGTAACACGAGGGATGAATTTAGTCCCTCATGCTGAAAGATATATCAATAGGAAGTAATTTAGATTGGGCCACTTAAAGTGCATGTAATACAAAAAAAAGAGAGAGAGACTGAGGAGTAATGCTTTAAGGGTTCATAGAGGTTGACTTGTGTAAGCTAGTGAGGTTGTAGCATTGCCATCCCAAGGGAAAGTTAGGGGAATGGGAAATTGCGTTTTATGGCTGAGCCTCAGGTTAACAGTCGAGAGGAAAGTAGTTTTAGGATTACTGTGTAAACTGGCAGTGGTACAGGCTGCCCTTCCAAATTACACTCCAGTCACACAATGGCACCTATTCACCTTATCCTGTTCCCCAGTTATTCAGGGCCAGACCCTGCTGCAGAGTTTACATTTCCTTCACCCGCTTTCTCTTTTTCACACAGTGCACCAAATAACAATGTTGACTGAGTTGTGACATCAAGTTGATATTGAGGAAGGGAAAGAGAGGTGATGAGAAATTGCTAACTCAGTTGTAAAACCTTGCTCTGTTACCTAAAATACTTGAGAACCTGATAGTGTATACAAGAAAACTGCTCATTGATGTTGTTTGACTCGCTCCAGGTCCCAGTACGCTTTCATGGGCTCATAGCAGAGAAACTGTGTTATCTTCTGTAGCTGTTAATGATTCTTGCTAAATATTTTTGGAGCTTTGGACTTTGCCATCTCTCCTACTCCTGTCAGTTTTTTTGCCCAGTGTGAATTGGCAAATGAATATTTCATTATTTTATAATGGGTGGGAGGCATATGAATGGAAGACTTGGTCATTCAGAGATTGTAGCCACTTTTCTCTGGGGATCTCACACTGTGTTTCTTTGGTATTTCAGATTGGCTGCTGGAAAGCTGCCCTGCCGTAGCCACTGACGCTATGGAAGACCGCATCCGCTGGTCTAGGCTGTAGGATGGTAGCGCACAGCAAGGTGTCAGCAGATAATGCAGTTGCAGCAGACCCAAGGTGTCTACTTGACCCTCCAGCACAGGATCGTTCACAGGCTCGAAGCTACCAGGGCCCAGGCCGGCCTGGCACTGTGCAGGCACAGAGCAACACTCACTTCCGAACCTTTCGCTCGCAAGCGGATTTCAGTAGCATCACTCGAGCCAGCAGCCTACTGGAAGCCTGTGGCTTCTACTGGGGACCTCTGACTGTCAGTGCTGCCCATGAGAAGCTGAAGTCTGAGCCTGAGGGCACCTTCCTCATCAGGGACAGCACACAGAAGAATTGCTTTTTTGCCATCAGTGTTAAGACTGCGACTGGGCCCACCAGCATCCGGATAAACTTTCAGGCTGGGCATTTCAGCCTGGATGGCAGCAAAGAGACTTTTGACTGTCTTTTTAAGCTGCTGGAACATTACCTAAGCTCCCCGAGGAAGGTACTGGTTACCCCCCTGCGCAAAGTCCGCATGCAGCCCCTGCAGGAGCTCTGCCGGAAAAGCATTGTGAAGACTTTTGGAAGAGAGAACTTGAACCAGATTCCCCTCAATCCTGTTTTAAAGGACTATCTGAAATCCTTCCCATTTCAGATATAAGTACAGCATTAACTGTATAGGGACGTGTGAGAGATGCGTGAAGAAATCCAGCTTCCTGGGTTTTTAACCATGTTTGACAGTGAGCAAACTTATTTTTGTAGCAATTTACTGTATTTTGGGATGGAACTTGAACACTTGACTTCTTATGTTTACAAAAACTATTTGCACAAATCTGGGGTTTTAAAACCCTGGCATAATTTTTCTGCCAAGCAGAATATTTTATTATTTTATAATATTTTTAATGACATTAACATAATAAATTTTATTGTGAAAGTTTTAAAAAAAAGTAGCATGTCTGGTTTTAGTTTTAAAGGTTCTGGGTACCTATTCTGTTGATGAACTGCTTACTGAGTGTGTAAGTGCAGACAGATTTCCATGTGGTCCCGCTTTCTCCCCTACTGAACTAGCCTGTGCTAGTCCAAACAGACAGAGGATTCCTGCCCAAAAAGCTTAAAACAGAAAGATGAAAGTGAGTAGAAAATGTCCTCAGGATGAATCTGCCCAGAAATCTAGCTCTCTTCTTCTAAATCCATGAGAGCAGGAACAGTGTGTTAAGAATAGAGTGCTGCATAGTATTTGAAAGAGAATTGAACCATTGGCTGAGCTAATTGCACCAACTCTCCTTGCCTTATTTCTATTAAAAGGCACAAGGCTGTAAGCAAGCAGAGGCTCCTGTTGGACATAACAAACCACATGAATGTCAGCAGGGAAAAATAAAACTGTCCAGAAATGCCATTCTCACACTTGAAAGGTCTGTGAACACCGTGTCACTATGATGCACTGGGGGAAGGATGGCTTAGTTCTCTCTTTACATCGGCATATACAAAATGGCAAAGGTGCAGGCAACTTTAGACTTCAGAAAGAAGTCCCAGATTCCTGGTGATCTACAGAGCGTAGATGTGATGTTTTGAAAGAATCTGTGACAATATCGAGAAAGCATAAGCCTATAGACTTGTAGCTATAATTTCTAATGGCTAAACTTCATTCAAATGAAGTTAAAGTATCAGACTGTTTTTAACTGCTGTTTGTAGAAGATAGTGAAGGCACTACTGGGTTTCCAACTGCTCACAAAAGGCAAAATCTGTGCCCCACAACGCTGTAACTGTAAATGACTGAGATGCCCAATGTGGCAAAATATCACCTGTATTATGATTAAGTGGTTCTGCCCTCCCTCAAGCATTTCCTGAAATCCATGAAAAACTTAGAAAACCAGCTGAACCAAATCACTTAAAAGAAGGCAGAGTCTTTCACAGAAATGTACTCTATCAGCACAGATCTACAGTGCTTACAGTAACTGTAAGCAGTAAATGAAGTCATCTTTAGAGTTTGGAAGATAAAAGGTCTCCCCCTTGGCTGTAATTCACATTCCTTTTAAGCTAAATCCACTTTTACAAAACACTGAGTACGTGTTATATAGTGTTCCTCCCTGAATAATTTGTTAAGTCATTTATAGAATCAGCTCTTAGGTAGTTGATGTTTCCTTTGAATAAATAGGCTACCTCCTCAAACATGACTAAGGATCACTCACAGTGCACTCGACACTGTGAGAAAGGGAAAAAGAAAGAACATACAGACAGTATCACATGATCCTTTACTGTCATGCTTCCCTGAAAATGTTCTTTGGATTGGCTTTGCCTAGCAGTCTCCATTCCCTTGTCAGCCATCCCTGGCTGAGATTAGCGGACAGCATTTCTGCTTCATTCTAAAGCTGGAATTAGTTGCTGAATTATGCATTTTCCCACAGCAGCTGCAAGGATATAAACTGGGGAAGCAGTGAACGCTGTGTTAAGTAGCAGATAAGAAAGAGGAGCAAAGAGCAAAATTACCTGAATGTGAATAGCTTTAAGAAGTTAAACTGGGGGAAAAAAAGTGTCTTTGTAGATTGAAGGCTGCCAAACTGCTGTCAGCAGAGATTGTTACACCTTTCCCTGTCCTCTTTTCCCAGCCCCACACTGTAGTACCTTTAAATCCTTTAGGCCCCAAACTAATGACTCTTGCCTTGCTGTATAAATGAGTGTCCACTTTACCACATTAGTAGTAGAACAAGCACAACGTAGCTTAGAAAGCTCTCCGCTACCCCTGGCAAAACCAAACAAAACTAGACCTAGATATGCAGTAAGGGGCTTCTATCTGAGAGGCAGGGAATGAAAGGCATAAGGATTGAGCCCATTTCATTTTCTTCCTGGCAGAAACAAACCTAGTTTCTTTCTCCCTTTTATTGCTTTAGAGTAAGTTTAGCAGAAATAATCCATATACTCCCTCCTAAATGCCTTCATGTTGTCTTTCATATGAAATGTAAATGTGGGCTAGCTCGGAAAAATATATAATCAAAACTGTAAATAAGGACAAGAACATCAGAATTGTATAAAACGTCTCTTCAGGAAACAGGAGACAAAACAGGCTTGTATTTTAAGCTATGTATTTTTTCACCTGCCTTATTCTTCTTCTCCTTCCTTTCCTTCTCAGCTTTTCTCCCCCCCTTCCCCCCCCCCCCCCAATACAATAATGCAGTGGCCAGGCAGATTCTTTCTCTAGCAGGTGTATGTAGCTTGGTCCAAAGCAGTTAAGAAATCCCTACCCACAGTATGTGTGTTCACGATGTCACTCTGACTTGCCCTCTGTAAGAGGTAATGAAGGGTTCTCTAAAATGTTTGCTTACCTGTATGCACTGACTTAAGGACTCTGTCACATCTAAGGGCCATATTAGAAGTCTCCTGAAGATTTCTACAGTAATTCTAGCTGTGAAATCTCTCATCCTCTGTTTAATAAAGTACCAGCAAGGTCAAATAGGGAATCTGCGGGATTCTGCACCTAAATCAATAGAAACATAACAGTGCAGTGATTTTAATCCTCCGTGCTAAACAGTATGTGAAGAGTGGTGTTTCCAGTCCCTCCCCCGCTTCCCAGCTCTTTCCTGTGACCTTTTCACTCCTGCCTGTGGCTGGAAAGTGAAGTAAATAGTCAATCCGATAAAGGATTACAGAAGAATTTGAGCCATGCTCAGGAGCAGAGCTGAGCAGACCTAAGTCTCTTTTCTGAAGAGACTGCAGTATTTGGTTAGTGGGAACAGATAGCTTTAAAATGGTATCATTTGCAGCATGGCTGTGTCACCCACAGGATCCTGGGGGACTCTGTCCCAGGGTGGGAACTGTGCAGCAGGGTCCTTCTGGGACACTAGCCAGCCCTGCTCCAGCGCAACACTCCTATGACCACAGGCAGCAAGACTGAGGCTTCCTCTCTTCTTAAAGACTGAAACACATGGTCACTTTCAGAGTAGGTTAATTTATTTACCCTGCTGCAGCTGCAAAACACTTGCTAATGAATAGAGCTGATTCACAGAACTGTAAATGTTCAGAGAACGTGGTTAATTTAAGCATGAAGAGTTACTGAATGCTCAGGAGGAGCCTCCTGAATGACACACATAACCTTACCCACTGTGAAGCTGTGGTTACACTAATTCTGTTATGATTGAAGTCATTTACAAGAAATGATGCTTCAGCTGCAGTCAGCACTGATGCTATTTTCAACAGTCAAGAAAAAAGTGTCCCCTAGGGCAACACACTGTATCTAGCCATCAATACTTTTCACCCAGCTTGTACTTAAACCTCTATTGAACAGTGTATCCACCTCCTGAACCTTCTCCTTCAGATCCAGTGTCAGCTTTTCCATTGTGCTGGGCTGTCATTCAGTCCCTGGGTCTCCCTCCACCCCTCCATTCATGGTGCTAACAGCATGTGAGCAATGCATTTATTCATAAATTCCAGCTTTGAGACAAAAGCTGTGTAACAGCAATTTAACCCAGACTCTGCATTATTTTCTGCACAAAATGTAAGCTAACAACTGCATGTGCAGTAGGTTCCCAGGATGTTTCTCCCAGTTGCCAAGAAGTGCTGTTCAGGACTTCTCATCACCAATCACTTGCCTGTTGTCATACTGCTGCACAGTACTCAAATTCTGTCACTGTCTTTCTTTTTCCTCCACAGCTGTTTCCCAACATAGCAAGTTTGCTGTATGTGGATCCAGTTTGCTCTTTGTATCACCATGAAATAACAGAACCACAGGCCAGCAGGGAGCATAAAGAAAAGCCCAAATTCTCCCACATACCTCAGCGTGTAACCACTGCTCAAGCATGGCAAAACAGCAAAGGCCAAAAAGTCAGACTATAAACTTCTGACTGCCAGATGGGCGAGTCAGCCACATGCCAAAAACATTTCCCCTGTGTCTGGACCTCAGTGACATGCTTTGGCTGTGGTTATCAAGGACAAGAATGACAGAGATGATGCTATTGCATAGCAAAGCAATTACCCTATAATCTTCAGCTATGAGAGGAGCAGATATCGTAAGGACGCAATAGCCGTCAAAAAGAATAGAGAAAATAAGCAGCCTTGCCACAAGCCACATTTCCTCAGCATCCTTCAATCTACTCCTCTTGATACTATTAGCAAGACAAAGTAGAATTACCTTTCTGTTGTCATTTTAATCTTGGTTATAAGTATATTTTTTGTAGTTCCCAGCCATGTAGAAGAATGATAAATATAGTCATCACTCAGAGTTCTGTCTCCTCCTGTGAATTATTACATTATGACTTGCTTCTGCTTGTGAGCACAAAGGTTCATCTTCACTAACAGAGTTTAGGGCTTTTTTGTTCCCTACTGCTAACTGAAATAAAGCAACTGTGAAGATTTACTCAATTTTTACTACATAAGATCCACTGGCCTCTGTGCTGTGTTTTTAGATGTCATAATCTCTAGACATGGCTATGGAAGTAAAAAGCTGACTGAGTGGCAAAAAAAAGGAACGATTAGTATGGTTTTAATCAGAGGCTTCTTACACACTTATCTATTGCCAAACACTTATTGCTTCTTCCACAGAAATACCCATTAAATGCCTCTTTCTTCCAGCATATTTAATTCCTTTTTAGTTCTGTATTTGTTACAGGAAAGGGTTAGTTGGTTTAATCTTATAGTACCTTGTTTACACATGATTCTAAATTCTACAGCCTGTAGTTCAGGTTTACAGTGAGATACTCCACGAGGAGATTCAGAATGGTGCTGGGAATCCTGAGAGGACACTCTGACCTGATCAGCCTTGCACTCGTAGTACTGCATATGCTCAGGATGGACACAGAGTGTTGTTAGCTTAATGCAACTTGTGGACCAGATCTAGTGATCATCAGTGGACATTAGTTCCGCAAAGCCCCTTTGCTTATATTTTACTGATACCTTCGTCTAGTTTGACTTTCTATACACAAATAAAGGCTTCAGAAGTTTTACCAGGAATTTTCTGCAGTGCAGAGTTATTCCTGCAAAGTGCATAGCTATGCCTGCTGCGTCAGAGAACATTATCAAAGCCAGTTATGTGCAATTAAACTTAGTAGAGGGTTTAGGCAGACATCCAATCACAACTGAAGGACGTCAAGCACTAAAGAATTTACTGTGCTCTTCCATGTGTTCTACCGGTTAACACACTGGCTGCATTACAATGCAACTTATGTTTTCCAACCATCAGCATGTCCAGCCAGTCACAGTTCTCTTTCCATTTGAGATTCCAACAGCACCATGGCATGAATGCAGGTGGAGAGGGAATAAAGCCCTAAAGTAGATGGCTGGACATTTTTTCTCTTTATCTGACCGAATAGGACTGGGCTACCTTCTTTTATGTAATGTGAGCTATTTGGCACCTGGACTTACTGAGCTTGGTAACAAGGGCAGAAAGACTAAAGTCTTGATCATCAGTCTTAGTTGAACACCTTGGGAAAGGAGAGGAATCTGAAGTTCTTATAAATCAAGCTCCTCCCTCTCTTAGGCTGCTGAAATGCAGATAATGAAGAAACTGTAACTACTGTACTAAAATAAGATGTACAGGCCACACAAAGAAAGACCTGGATAGATGCACCCAGCTGGATAGGGAAGTAGGATAGGTAGTTTAGGCATTCACCTAGAAACTGTCGTATCTCTTTGAATTTCTGTGTTCTGTTCTAGTTGCTTTTCATAGTATAAATGGAAATCCTGGCTCTGTTGAAAAAGAAAACTATTTGTCCCTTTCTTATTTGACTACTTACTGGACTCCTGATACTCTACTCTGGACTTTGAGAAGCAGGAAAGAGATCAGTGGTTTCAATAGTCAAGACACATAATAGGTGAGCATGTTAATGATGAGAAAGGAGAAGAATGAACTCTTGGTAGCAACCAAGAAAAAAATGGAAAAATAATCAGCAAATTTGCAGAGGAGATAGTGGTAAAGGGTGGCTTTGCTGTGATGAATGCTGGGACATTCAGTGGTGGTGTCAGGGGACAGGGAGAAAGCTTGAGAACAGAGACACAAGTGGGATCAAATCTCAAAGTCTGTACTTTTCATGTAGCTATAAAGCCATCCTTTAATTTGGTTACAATGCTCCCAGGTTAAGTCAGGATAGAGTGAAAAGTTACCAATGTAATTGCAGATGAGTATGTTAAATGCTTCACAAGGAGTAAGGCTACCAACTACTTTCTTAGTTCTCCCCAGATTAAAAATTGGTAAACCTTCTTGTTTGACTCTTCTGGCATGTATTCTACATACACAATCTGTTCAGAAATAGTTTTGACAAATGCTTCAGAGATTATTTTAGGTTTTCTGTCCCCCTTACACTCCTATTTGCTTGTACCAGTTCACACCAGCTACTTTAAACAGCTGAGTTAGGTGCAAATAATAAGCTTTCAGAGAGATATGCCTAACTGCCAGGGGGGCAGTTAGCTCTGCAAATGAGGTGCCTAAAAGACATTGTGTGAACCCTTCCCCCTGTTTCTTCCTGGTTCCCAACAAGGCCAGCTATACAAGGTAAAATTTAGTGAGCCATGAAAGCTTTACAAGTATTACATAGCAGTTACTTTCTCTTTAAAACAAAATGAAACTACAGTTCAGTACTTCAATTTTCTTATTACTGTTGCTGCACAGAAAAAGCTAGTGATTGGCTGTGCTGTGATAATAGAGCATATGTTCAACCTGCTGTTCACTTTCAGTTTACTATAGTTTTCCTCTCTATGGACATTAATTACAAAGATGCCAGGTTGGCATTTACAACAAATATTGTTCTCATAATTTGACAGTTATGCCAAATGATTCCTTTAAGTTTCCATTCAGTAAAGAAAAGAAAAAGAAGGCTGCAATAAGAGAAATCTTAGACCTTACAGGGCATTCATTACTGGCCCAGAGGACAGAGCTGTCTAAACCATCTCAAGCCATAGGCACAAACTGGTTTATAGCATTCAGTACTGGATTTGCATGCATTTCCAAAAACAGTCTATGTAAATCTGCTGCTGGAATTCATCTGCTCACTCTAAAGAGCAGTTAACTCTTTTCTGGAGTGGATAGCTGAAGCAGCAGGAGTCTAGAAGGTGGCTCAGCGATGACATGAGTGTTTGCACACAGGGACAGTGATTTCTGGGTTTCTCCATCTTTCTCTAAAGCCTGAGAAGCCAGACACAGGAAGCATTTAATGGATGGTGGGATGAGCTTCCCAGCCAGCCTATTTGTCTTTAGGCCCAAACTGAATGTCACAAGGGCAGTCCAGGTCAGATTGGTAATTAAGGGATGTTGTAAAAGGATGGCTTTTTCAACAGGCTGCAGATTTCTACTTGGGAATTAAATAAGAATATCTCACCTGATTTGTGTGTTGCAGTTGTAAAGGTCTCTAGCACTTGTAAGAGTTTAAATGTCTTCAACTTTCTGCCAGGGACACACAGTTTTGAAGACTTTAAGCTTAGTACAGAACACACTGGCAACACTTCAAATCTAATATTCAAAGCTAAGTAAGTGGCCCACATACCCA